AGGGGTAGCTATCTTTGACCTTGACTTTGATGCTATTCTTGCTGCTGTGTATACTGTGTCTATTAGTGAGGAGGGTGACTGTTACCGGTGTTTCCCGCCCGACCCAGGCATTGCGACTGCTGCTCTAGGTACTGGTGAGGCCACTGCTCTTGGTGCTAGCGAGGCTGCTGCTCTAGGTGCTAGTGCGTCTGCTTCCTCCGGTACTGGTGAGTCTGCGCTCTCAGGTACTGCGTCGGCTTCGGCCTCCCACACCTTCACACTTGACTCAGGGGCTTCTCGCTCCTTCTTTCGAGACCGCACCACACTCACGCCGCTTGGTCGGCCAGTTGCAGTCTCCATGGCAGACCCCTCTGGGGGTCCTGTCCTTGCTCACTTCTCCACTATCCTCCCGTGTCCGGCGGCCCCCTCTGGCACCCTGTCTGATCTTTACCTCCCCTCGTTCTCTACGAACTTGGTGAGTGGTGCTGACCTACAGGATGCAGGGGTTCACCACTTCACTCCTGCGAGTCAGCGGGTGACCCACTGCACGGACGCTCGGACAGGCCGACACCTGGCCACGTTTACACGTCGGCCGGGGTCGAGCCTGTACACACTGACCACTGCGTCTCCTCCAGTCATTCCGTCTGGTCAGGTAGCTGCGTTGGGTCAGGTGTTTGCTGCAGCGTCCAGGTCTGGTCCTGAGTCTGCCCCCTGTTCGTGTCGCTTCCTGTCTCACGAGACTCTTCTCTGGCACCACCGCCTTGGTCACCCCTCCCTACTTCGCCTCCAAGGCATGGCTTCCTGTGTCCTTGTCTCTGGTCTTCCCCGGTCCCTCCCTCCCCTTCCTCCGGGGCCTGGCCCTACCTGCGTCCCCTGTGTCGAGGGGCGGCAGCGGGCTGTCCCTCACTCCTCTCAGTTTCCTCTGACAGAGGCCCCGCTGCAGACGCTTCACATGGACGTGTGGGGCCCGGCCCGCGCCCGTGGACAGGGTCACGAGCGCTACTTCCTACTGGTGGTTGACGACTACTTGCGTTACACCACGGTGCTCCCCTTGCGCAGGAAGGGTGATGTCACTGAGGTGTTGATCGACTAGATCCACGCAGCTCGTCTCCAGCTCAGGCAGAGCTTCGACTCGGACTTTCCTGTTCTGCATATGCACTCTGACAGAGGCGGGGAGTTCTCCTCTAGCCTTCTGCGAGCCTACTGTCGTGCACGAGGCATCTGCCAGAGCTTCACGCTTCCGGACTCTTCACAGCAAAATGGGATTGCTAAGCGCCGCATTGGCATGGTCATGGACGTCGCCCGTACGTCCATGATGCATGCGGCTGCCCCCCATTTTCTGTGGCCGTTTGCCGGTACGCGGCGCATCAGATCAACCTTCAGCCCAAGGTCTCCATGCCTGAGACCTCCCCAGCTTTGCTGTGGACGGGGAAGGTTGGCAATGCGTCTGCGTTCCGTGTCTGGGGATCTCGGGCGTTTGTCGAGCATGTGAAAGGCGAACGTGTGAAAGGCAGTGCAACTGGCAAACACTGGCGCGGCTTGCTCTTTGAGTGAACACCGTGTGAAAGGCGAACACTGGCGCGGCTTGCTCTTTGAGTGAACAGCCGGACCAGCCGCATCAACCGGGTGTTGTGAGAGCATTTGCATTTGCAGCGAGAATTCGCCACATCGAGAATTGGCCACGTCGACCCCTCAGATACTCATTCAGATTCTCATTCAGCGCGTTGCACGCGGTGGGTGCACGGCGACGCTGGAGCGGCGCGAGAGGTAGCGGCACGTGACGGGCGGCAGGGAGGTGAGAGAAGCGTTATGCGCATCCGCGATAATAACAGCGAGAAAGACAAGCATAGGAATGGAGACGACGAATCAGAGAACAGGGGGGACGTGGGGGAAAGAGGGGGATGAGTGTTTGTAGCTTTTGCGAGAGATTCTGTGATTGCAGGGAGGAAACCTTAAATCAATTGTTTCCTCACTCTTTAGCAGTATGTGGGCAATGAGAACAATCCACGGGCCCACAGATTTGCACAGACGGGAGCGGGGATACGCATGGGGAATATTGCAGAAGTAGTGGGGGAAAGGGGGAAAGGAAAAAGGTAGGGAGGGGAGGAGGAAGGAGGTGGGGGGGAGAGGGGAGGAACTGAAGGCGTGGTGTTTCTAACGTGGAAACATTGTAACATGGTACACTTGGTACCCTAAAACGCGTGCTTCTGATGTTTAGCATTCCGTGTGCCAGTGGTATGTTTGAGTGAGCTGCATATGCACACGAGAGGAAGTGGGGCGGAGTGGGCGATAAAGGAGGTTCAGCGCTGAAGAGAGGGAGGATTTTGGGGTGGGGGATGGAAAGAGTCACACTACCAGCACAGCATGGACGCACCAGTTAGCCTGCCGGTAGTTCTGCCGAAAGTCTGGAAGGCGAGCACGCGGCGCATGATGCTGGTGCGGCGCTTGAGGTAGCGTGACGGGCGCGTGGCGGGCGACAGGGAGGTGAACGCGCCGTTGATGGGCGCGAGAAGCGTTACGCGCACGAGGGGAGGAGGAAAAGAACGGGGGATATTGCAAAAGCAGGGGGGGGGGGAGGAAGGGGATGGGAGGAGGGGAGGGGAGGAGGGGAGGGGGGGAGAGGGGAGGAAGAGGGGGGAAAGGGAGAGGCGTTTCTAACGTGGGAAACAATTTCTAACATGGACTAGCATTCATGTGCCAGCAACATCGTAACCTAGTCAATTCACAGCGGAGATCTGATATTGCGCTTCTAAAACCGGTGAGAATCGCGCGTCGCTATAACGCTTCAACGGCCAGACCTCGAGCGTTGATGTTCCGAATCTTACGAATTCGTTCACCGGCAGCGTCAAGTCAGACGGGATCGTCCGACGACCAGCAGCGTGAGCCCTTTCTCGCTGCCATCGCCGCGCAAGCGGCTTCCGCGTCGCACTCTTGTAACGAGTCCGCACCGACGTCAGCGTGTATCCCTGTAACGAGGATAGCACATTATTGGAGCGGTGACTACGGCGCGAATCTGTATACTCGCGATGAATCCATTTTATGAGAATGTGCGCGGTGAGGAGATGATCACCGACAAGACATGGCGGGGCGTTTACGAAAAGCCTCTAATAGACCTTTCAAATCGTCACGATTTTGCTATCACTAATATCCGCTGCTAGTACCACGATCGCGCCGACATTAGTGACCGAAATCTCGCATTGACTATGGCGTGTTTGAAACGCGGCGCGTTTCGTGGAAAGAAAGAGCATAATTGCTATACAATATGAAACTTCGTAATGATCATTAATTATATCTATGCTCTACCAGAAAGTTCTAAATCTACCAGAACGTTCACAGCTACTAGAAAGCATAACATCTACCACTAGAGCGTTCCATAATTACTAGAAAGTCTTTTATCTACTAGCTGTTCCATAAGGTGCCCACTAAAGTTCCATATCTACTAATTGAGAACTAGATATTGATAGTCCACTAGATAATTAAATAATTAATTAATTGTACTATTGTACTACCCATGCACTGTAGGTATGCATGGGGGGTTCCTCTTGGCCGCCAGGAGCAAGCTCCCAACGTTACACCCAAGCACCGCGGTGAGGTGGGAACCATCGCTTAGGACCCTGTTGGAGGGGGAGGCAGAACACAAAAGGATACTGGATACTGCCCAGGGGCAGGTGAAAATTAATCTCAAATCCAATGCTGCCCATCCTTGCTTCCTGACCAGCTGAGGAACATGCAAAAGAGTTTTGGGACATGTCCCAAAACCCTGATTTTGCTCACTGCAGCTAAACTGCAGTGAGGAAGGCGTGAGTTTTGAGACATCTCTCAAAACTCACAAGTTTAGTAAGGAACAGAGCGAAAGAGAGAGTGTGTTAGTGAGTTTTGAGATGTCTCTCAAAACTCAAAGAAGGGAAGAGAGGAGGAACGGAACACTGCAGTGCACTGCAGGACACAGCAGAACTGCCACCGGCAGCTCACAACTGGATTTGAGGCGCCTCAAACCAGCAAACAGGGTCCTCTCACCGCACTCTCACTCTGACTCCAACTCACCCTCACACTGCAGCCTGCCGCAGTTCTCAACACTCAACTCACACTCACCCTCACTCTAATTCACCCTCACACTGCAGCCTGTGCAGTTCTCAACACTCAGCTCTTCCTCACCCTTTACCCTCTCTCAACCTTCCGCACACTCTGCTTCCCCTGCAACCCCTGTTCCCCGCTATCTGCTCCCCCCTCACTCTGCTTCCCCCCACTCTCCTCCATCCCCTGATTTGCTGCATCTCTGCTTCATTTCTCCATCTGCGTCATGTGCCTCATCTGCGCCGTCTGCTTCATCTGCATCATCACTTCACTTCACAGCACCAGCAGCAGCTCATGGGCGGGAGGTAGGAGCGAGGGAGATAGCACACGGGAGTGAGGCAGCATCAGCTGCTCCCACCCTGCTGCCTCCGCTGGTGCCACTTCTTGCATGCCCTTCAGCCCCCAATGCTGCTGCCACCGCTGGTGTTACTGTGGCCTTCTCTTCTGCTGCTGCCTCTCCTTTTGTTGCTGGCCATCTCCTTTGCTGCTCCACTCCCCTTAACCTCTCATCACACCACCAGCAGCAGCACAGTGGAGGGAGGTAGGAGCGAGGGAGGTAGCACCTGTCGCTGCTGCAGTTTTCTGGTATTGCTGACAGTCCCACTGCTGTCGCTGCTGCTGCCAAGACAGCAGCACCTCTCCACCACCAACGCAACAGTTTCGTAGCCCCAGCAGCAGCACAGGGGAGAGAGGTAGGAGCGCGGGAGGTAGCAGTTGCCGTCCCATCACTTGGTAGAACCAGCAGGCAGCAGCACAGGGGGTAGAGGAAGGAGTGAAGGAGGTAGCACAAGGCAGCAGCAGGCAGTAACAGCCCGAGCTTTCTTGTGTCAAGTACGACCAACAGCGGTGGGGGCTAGTGCAGCTGTGTTGTTCACTGCTCCTCTGCTCCACTCTGCTGCTCCCCTCCCAACTCCTGCTCCTCTCCTCCCTTTCATTCTCCTGGGAAGTTACTTTCCATGAGCACAGGCAGCAAGCCGTCTCCTCTGCTCCCCCTGCTGCTGCTGATGGCAGTCCAGCCGTCTCCTCTGCTCCCCTGCTGCAGCAGCTAATGGCGTCGACTTTGCTTTCACGCCCGTGGACTGGCTTGCACTCCTCCTGACACGCAACAGCAGCTGGGAAAGCGTAGCCCAGCTGGGAGGGCCCCATGCGGCAAGTCGTTTCTTTTCGCGTTGCCATTCCCTCCACAGCGCCAGGAAAGCCTCGTTCCGGGAGATGGGAAAGTTCAGCAGATCTTCCCTTCTCATGCTCCTATCGCTGCTCCTCCGTCTTCCCACCCGCGCCTTAGTGGTGCCTGCACAGCGACCAGATCATTGCGATTCGATAGCACAGGAAAGGTTAATTAGAGGAGAGGTTAACAGAGTGGATTGAGAGATTTAATGATGGACGGAGTAATCGGACAAATGCAAGGAGGAAAAAACAGGGATGTTTGTCACTCACGTGTTTCTTCAGTCGCTGCTGACACTGCTGCTGCCACCGCTGGTACCACTGCTTGCATTCCCTTCTGCTGTCTCTTCTGCTCGCACTGCTGCTGCCTCCGCTGGTGCCACTGCTGGCCGTCCCATCAATTCACAGCACCAGCAGCAGCACGCGGGAGGCAGTAACAGCTCGCAGCTTGCTGGTGTCAATTTCACAGCCGTGCCTCTGTGCCTGCTCCGTGCTGTGCCTTCTCCGTGCCTCTGTGCCTTCTCCGTGCTGTGCCTTCTCCGCGCCTCTGTGCCTTCTCCGCGCCTTGCCTTCTCCCCTCCATGCCTTCTCTCCTCTGTGCCTTCTCCCCTCCATGCCTTCTCCCCTCCATTCCTTCTCTCCTCCGTGCCTTCTCCCCTCCATGCCTTCTCCCCTCCATTCCTTCTCCCCTCCGTGCGCCCAGCAGAGTTGGGGGGAATCACAGCTGTGCGGTTCTCTGCTCCTCTGCTCCTTTGGCCTTCCCCCCTCCGTGCCTTCTCCTCCGTGCCCTCTGCTCCATGTCTCTCCAATGCTCCATCTCCTTCCTCTTCTCCATCATCTCCTTTGGCTCTCCTTCCTCTCCTCTGCTGCGCCGTCTCCTCTGCTGCGCCGTCTCCTCTGCTGCTCCGTCTCCTGTGCTGCTGTGAAATGGGAAGAGGCAGGCACAGGGCTGATGAGCGCATAATCTCACAGAAAGGACATAATCTCACAGAAAGGACATAATCTCACAGAAAGGACATAATCTCACAGAAAGGACATAATCTCACAGAAAGGACATAATCTCACAGAAAGGACATAATCTCACAGAAAGGACATAATCTCACAGAAAGGACATAATCTCACAGAAAGGACATAATCTCACAGAAAGGACATAATCTCACAGAAAGGACATAATCTCACAGAAAGGACATAATCTCACAGAAAGGACATAATCTCACAGAAAGGACATAATCTCACAGAAAGGACATAATCTCACAGAAAGGACATAATCTCACAGAAAGGACATAATCTCACAGAAAGGACATAATCTCACATGACAAGAAGGAAAGGATTGTGAGCATGCATAAGGCAAGAAAGAAAGGACTTGCGAAACGAATAAGGCAGCAACCATGCATCTGAACGAACAGAAGAGATAAAGCAAGAAAGAGGATCACATATTTACTCCACCACTGTGCTTCTTTGCTCCATCGCTACTTTCCTCCTCGTCTCCTCTTCTGCTGCTCCTCAGCTGAGCCAACTCCTTTGCTTCTCCACCTCCTCTGCTCCACCTATACTCCATCTCCTCCTCGTCTGATGCATCTCCTCTGCTCCTCCTCCCCTGATGCATCGCCTCTGCTCCTCCTCTGATGCAGCTCATGGGCGGGAGGTAGGTAGAAGCGAGGGAGATAGCACCTGGCCTTCTCTTCTGCTCCCAGCAGCTGCCTAGTCGTCTTTTCTGCTCAACTGCAGTAGCACACGGGAGTGAGGCAGCATCAGCTGCTCCCACTGCTGCTCCCACTGCTGCTCCCACCGCTGGTGTCACCAATGGCCTTCTCTTCTGCTGCTGCCCCTCATTTTGTTGCTGGCTATCTCTTTTGCTCCTCCACTCCACTTCACCTCTCCTCCGATCACATCACACCAGCAGCAGCAGCACACTGGAGGGAGGTAGTAGCGAGGGAGGTAGCACCTGTCACTGCCAACACAGCAGCACCTCTCCACCTCCAACGCAGCTCTTTCGTAGCCCCAGCAGCAGCACAAGGGAGGGAGGTAGGAGCGAGGGAGGTAGCACCTGTCGCTGCTGCAGATTTCTGGTATTGCTGACAGTCCCACTGCAGCCGCTGCTGCTGCCAACACAGCACCACCTTTCCACCTCCAACGCAGCAGTTTCGTAGCCCCAGCAGCAGCATAAAGGAGAGAGGTACAAGCGCGGGAGGTAGCAGTAGCCGTCCCATCACTTGGTAGCACCACCAGCTACAGCACAAGGCAGCCGCAGGTAGCAACAGCTCCACCTTGCTCCTGTCAATACTGGCGCCTTCCCCCCTCCATAAGGCCAGCAGCGGTGGGGGCCAGTGCAGCTCTGCTGTCCTCTGCTCCTCCTCCTCTGATGCATCTCCTCTGCTCCTCCTCCTCTGATGCATCTCCTCTGCTCCTCCTCCTCTGATGCATCTCCCCTGCTCCTCCTCCGCCCCCTCCGATGCATCTCCTGCGGAATAGGAAGGAAGGAAAAGCTTATGAGCACCCAGCGATTGCACCCAGGGCAACAAAGCCAATGCCAAGCGAACAGAGCAACAACCATCCATCCAAAGGATCAAGAAAACGAAGGCAGGAAAGAAGATGCTCACCGGCAGTGCAATGGCAGGGAATTCTCCTTAGCGCCTCCTCTCCTCCGCGCCTCTTCTCCTCCGCGCCTCCTCTCCTCCGCGCCTCCTCACCTCCGCACCTCCTCTCCTCCGCGCCTCCTCTCCTCCACGCCTCCTCTCCTCCGCGCCTCCTCTGCTCTGGTCTTGAAGTCGTGAAGTCTCGCGGCTGTCTGAAATGGGAAGCAACAACGACATTAGTACATGTGGAAAACAGAAAGCAGAAACTTGGAGAGCACTTACCGAGGGGGCTGGAGGCGTCGTGAAGTCTCACGGCTGTCTGAAACGGGAAGCAACAACGAATGTGGAAAACAGAAAGCAGAAACTTGGAAAGCACTTACCGAGGGGGGTGGAGGCGTCTTGATGTCTTCGTGACGGCTTAGACAAGAAGACACACACATAACAACATTAGGCATGAGACGACACAAGAAGCAAACAAGACTGCAGCTTACAGCGGGTCCTAGCTGCTGCATCCCCGTGTTGCTCCCGCCTTGGTGTTGCCCCTGTACCTAGAAGAGGGGCGGCACAAATTTAATCCTTCGCTGCTGCGTCCACGTGTTACTCCCGCCTTGGTGTTGCCCCTTGATGCTTGCTGTACCTAGAAGAGGGGCGGCACAGAAATTATATTTTGAAGGCGCCTCACTTGAAGGCGCCGCTCCACCTCCTGCTGCTCCTCGTGTGTTGATCCTTTGCCCCCCAGGGGGTCAAAGCGCCTCACTGGAAGGTGCTGCTCCTCCTCTTGCTGCTCCTCCTTGTGTTGATCCTTTGCCCCCCAGGGGGTCAAAACGCCTCACTTGAAGGCGCCGCTCCACCTCCTGCTGCTCCTCGTGTGTTGATCCTTTGCCCCCCAGGGGGTCAAAGCGCCTCACTTGAAGGTGCTGCTCCTCCTCTTGCTGCTCCTCTTGTGTTGATCCTTTGCCCCCCAGGGGGTCAAAACGCCTCACTTGAAGGTGCTGCTCCTCCTCTTGCTGCTCCTCCTTGTGTTGTTCCTTTGCCCCCCAGGGGGTCAAAGCGCCTCACTTGAAGGTGCTGCTCCTCTTGTGTTGATCCTTTGCCCCCCAGGGGGTCAAAACGCCTCACTGGAAGGTGCTGCTCCTCCTCTTGCTGCTCCTCCTTGTGTTGTTCCTTTGCCCCCCAGGGGGTCAAAGCGCCTCACTTGAAGGTGCTGCTCCTCCTCTTGCTGCTCCTCTTGTGTTGATCCTTTGCCCCCCAGGGGGTCAAAGCGCCTCACTTGAAGGTGCTGCTCCTCCTCTTGCTGCTCCTCCTTGTGTTGATCCTTTGCCCCCCAGGGGGTCAAAGCGCCTCACTGGAAGGTGCTGCTCCTCCTCTCGCTGCTCCTCTTGTGTTGATCCTTTGCCCCCCAGGGGGTCAAAGCGCCTCACTTGAAGGTGCTGCTCCTCCTTGTGTTGATCCTTTGCCCCCCAGGGGGTCAAAGCGCCTCACTTGAAGGTGCTGCTCCTCCTCTTGCTGCTCCCCCTTATGTTGATCCTTTGCCCCCCAGGGGGTCAAAGCGCCTCACTTAAAGGTGCTGCTCCTCCATGTGCTGCTCAACAGGAGAAAACAATAACAATAACAACAACCACAACAAGTGTGAGTTTTGAGACGTTTTGCTCTCAAAACCCAAGTTTTGCTCACCGCAAGAAATCTGAAGTGAGGAAGGAGGGGGTGCGAGTTTTGAGACGTCACTCAAAACTCACCATTTGCAAAGTTTTGAGCTTTGAGCTTCCCTGCTAGCATCTGCTCCCACTGCTAGCCTTCCCTGCTAGCATATGCTCCCACTGCTGGTCTTCTCTTCTCATCTGCTCCCACTGCTAGCCTTCGCTGCTAGCATCTGCTCCCACTGCTAGCCTCCCTGCTAGCATCTGCTCCCACTGCTAGCCTTCCCTGCTAGCATCTGCTCCCACTGCTAGCCTTCCCTGCTAGCATCTGCTCCCACTGCTAGCCTCCCTGCTAGCATCTGCTCCCACTGCTAGCCTCCCTGCTAGCATCTGCTCCCACTGCTAGCCTTCCCTACTGCTGCCACCGCTGCTCCCACTGCTGCTGCCACCGCTGCTCCCACTGCTGCTGCCACCGCTGGTGTCCCTGCTGGTCTTCTCTTCTGCTTCCAGCCACTGCTGCTGTCAGCTGTAGTGGCATTGCGGGCCTCTCTCCTTCTCCCACCGCTGCTGCCACCGCTGGTGTCACCGCTGGTCTTCTCTTCTGCTGCCAGCCACTGCTGCTGTCAGCTGTAGTGTCATTGCGGGCCTCTCTCCTTCTCCCACCGCTGCTGCCACCGCTGGTGTCACTGCTGGTCTTCTCTTCTGCTGCCAGCCACTGCTGCTGTCAGCTGTAGTGTCATTGCGGGCCTCTCTCCTTCTACCACCGCTGCTGCCACCGCTGGTGTCACTGCTGGTCTTCTCTTCTGCTGCCAGCCACTGCTGCTGTCAGCTGTAGTGTCATTGCGGGCCTCTCTCCTTCTCCCACCGCTGCTGCCACCGCTGGTGTCACTGCTGGTCTTCTCTTCTGCTGCCAGCCACTGCTGCTGTCAGCTGTAGTGTCATTGCGGGCCTCTCTCCTTCTACCACCGCTGCTGCCACCGCTGGTGTCACTGCTGGTCTTCTCTTCTGCTGCCAGCCACTGCTGCTGTCAGCTGTAGTGTCATTGCGGGCCTCTCTCCTTCTACCACCGTTGCTGCCACCGCTGGTGTCACTGCTGGTCTTCTCTTCTGCTGCCAGCCACTGCTGCAGTCAGCTGAAGTGCTGCTGCTGCTGCTGGGAGGTTGGGCGAGGGCAGTCGTCAGCAGGGCCCGCTGCGTCATCCCACCACTCGCCTCTTCAATCGCCACGCTGCTTGCACTGCTCCTCCATGCTCGCTGTGGCTGCCGGCCTGTGGGTGTGCTGGCAGAGGGATGGCAGGAAGAGGGATGCTGGCAGGAGGAGAGGAGAAGAGGGAGACAAGTGGACGGAGCAGAGAAGGGAGGTGAGAGGGAAGGCGATTAGCACGGCGTACGCAAGTGACTTAACGGAAAAACGGCATGCATGTTAGCAAGGAAAAACGGAAGGATGCAAGCAGGGAGCGTGTGAGTGCAAGCAAGCAGTGCAAGGCACGAGTGCGAGCGAGTGAGTGGTGCGAACTGAGTGAGATAGCTTAGCCGGATGGAAGAGGGTCGAAGGAGCATGCAGGCGTGCTCCTCTTGTGTGCGCTACCCTTGCGCTCCCCTGCAGGCGCGCTCCCGTTGCGTGCGCTCCCCTTGCCTCCTTGCTCTTGGACTGTCATAGCGCCATGGACTGCCATAGCGCCATGGACTGCCATAGCGCCATGGACTGCCATAGCGCCATGGACTGCCATAGCGTCATGGACTGCCATAGCGCCATGGACTGCCAGGGCGCCATGGACTGCCATAGCGCCATGGACTGCCATAGCGCCATGGACTGCCATAGCGCCATGGACTGCCATAGCGCCATGGACTGCCATAGCGCCATGGACTGCCATGGCGCCATGGACTGCCATAGCGCCATGGACTGCCATGGCGCCATGGACTGCCATAGCGCCATGGACTGCCATGGCGCCATGGACTGCCATAGCGCCATGGACTGCCATGGCGCCATGGACTGCCATAGCGCCATGGACTGCCATGGCGCCATGGAATGCCATAGCGCCATGGACTGCCATAGCGCCATGGACTGCCATAGCGCCATGGACTGCCATAGCGCCATGGACTGCCATAGCGCCATGGACTGCCATAGCGCCATGGACTGCCATAGCGCCATGGACTGCCATAGCGCCATGGACTGCCATAGCGCCATGGACTGCCATAGCGCCATGGACCGCCATAGCGCCATGGACTGCCATAGCGCCATGGACTGCCATAGCGCCATGGACTGCCATAGCGCCATGGACTGCCATAGCGCCATGGACTGCCATAGCGCCATGGACTACCATAGCGCCATGGACTGCCATAGCGCCATGGACTGCCATAGCGCCATGGACTGCCATAGATTAACGCCCTGCACAGTGAGCAGAGAGCCGCAATCGCACAGGGAAGGTTTATCATTGAACGAATGCAAGGAGGAAAAGACGGTGGAATGCGACAAAGAAAACGAATGCCAACACTGGAGTGAGTGGAAAACGCGAATGAGGAGGAAGATGGGAGGGCGAGGAGAAGAAAGGAAGAGCTCCAGTTACTTGCTTGCTTCTCCAGTTGCTGCTTTTCCACTCGCCGCTTCTCCAACACTGCAGCACCCCCTCCAACACAGCAGCACCGCCTCCAACACAGCAGCACCGCCTCCAACACAGCAGCACCGCCTCCAACACAGCAGCACCGCCTCCAACACAGCAGCACCGCCTCCAACACAGCAGCACCACTCCATTGCAGCAGCAGCACTGTTCCACCTCCAACGCAGTACCACCACCACTCCGCCTCCAACCAACGCAGCTCCAACGCCAGTCAACGTCATGCTTCCATGGACGCAGCAGCACCGTTCCATCACCAACGTCAGTCAGCTCTCGCCAGCGCTTCTCCCCCGGCTGCACTGACTGTTTTGACTGCACGTCAGTCAAGCGAGAGACTGACTGCACGCCAGTCAATAGCGCCGCTCCGTCAGTCAGTCAGTCAGCTCTCGCCAGCGCTTCTCCAGCACTGCTCCCGCTCTTGGTGAGAGACCGGTTCACGGCCCACCAGGAAACCGTCTCCTACTCCTGCACGGACGGAGACATTTGAAAGCCGCAGCGAGTGAGATACGCCATGATAGGAACGGAAATGAAAAATACGCGAGATGAAATCAAACGAAACGCGATCGCCAAGAGAGATAAATTTGGAATATATGCGCGTCATGAAACGATTTACCCTACAAATCACAAACAAGCGTTTGGGGTTTGGACACGCAAACTCACCACAACAAGATGCGCAAACGTGGCAGCGGCGCGAACGTCGACGCCTTAGCGTCTTCGATAGCGCCTTCGCGAGCTCCATCGCGAGCGCATCCTCCGTCGTCCGATTCCGTCGGACTACCATCGCGGGCGTCGACGGCCTCGCGAGCTCTCCTCCGTCGTACTACCTAGCGGAGGCGACGAAAAGAGCTTCTCCGTCGAGCATTTCGCGAGCTTGGTCAGAGTATCCGTGTCGACTTCACGAAGAGCGTCCGCGGTAGTGTCAAGAGCTCTCCCTCCGTCGAGATCTCCTCCGCCATGCATCCATGCATTCGCGAGATTCGCGAGCGTCGACGAATTCGCGAACTATAGTACCGCCTTCTCCTTACGAAGCTGCTCTTCCGTAGTAGTTGTATCCGTCACCTTCAGACGTCGTCGCGTCGTCGACTTCGTTAACGTCGCAGGCGTCTACGGATCGTTGTTTTCATGCATGCTGCGAGACCAATCGGTGCTTGCTGCAGATTCTGCGGTATTCGATGTCTGGAAGAAAAATAGATGCTCTATGCTTCATACGAAGCCGAATGAAACTCCTCCTCTTCCGTCGCAACGTCGCGAGCGTGAAACGCTGAATGTTATCGTCCGACACAGAACCCTAATCACGCTAACGGCGTCGTAGGACGAATTATGACCGACGCGAAACGAAGCCTCAAAATGCGACGCGACGCCGGTTGCGAGCGAGCGTGACGCGGAATGATATCTAACGAAAGAGCGTCAAGAGCGTGGCGTTTAATCATAGGATCTGATCGGAAACTGGAGTTGAAGAAAGTAACGTGTTGATGGTCGCTAAACAAGATCCAGAGGATGATTCGACATTCTAGCAGTCGTCGTCCAGGGAACGAATCACGGTCGTCCAGTTAGAAAGTAGAGCGTTCTAATCTGAAGCCTAAGATTGGTTCGACGTGACCGCTGGCGTTGACGCACGAGAGGCGTCGTAACAACTGAAGAAGCGGCCATGGACGTTCATGGAGTTAGCAAGCAGGCTCTTGACTCGAAACAACTCACGGAGGACCAAGCAAGAGGGATTGTGGCTAGGAAGGGAATGCGAGGCGAGCAAAAGTGAGGGGTCACCAATCAGCAGAGTCACTCAGGAAAGCCCAGGTAGAAGCGTACGAGGCCAACTGATCCAAGTTCGGTAATTCGGTTGAGTTCGTTTACTCACGGTTTTTACGCGGTACCACGCGAAAAAGGTTCGGTCGATCCATTCCAACTGAATGCGATGCCCCAGTCAGCGGAGGTGAGGGGAGGAGGAGGGTGGAGCCGAGTCGCCATGCAAGCCGAGAAAGTCCCCTCTCCAGTACAGCCCCAAGGCGGGAGACGCCGCTGCTGCTGCAGACGCTGGTTGCGGGAATTTTGCGCTGACGAGGCGGGAAGCCTTGGGAGGGTCGCCGGAGAAGGTGCGCTGAACGGCGGGGAGCCGCGAAGACTGTCCGAAGAGCTGGCGAGCGGACAAACTGATGGTGTATGGCGGCGGGGGTTTGTAAGTTACCATATACCGCTGTGCAAGAAATGTTACCGTGGTTTCGCGGGGGGGGCTGGTCCTGACATCTACGGCGTTGGATGGGGTGGTGATGGTGAGGTGAGGTTTGCTGACAGGCAGCAACACTACTGGCTCGAATCTCGTGCAAGTGTCAGACCACAGTTTCGAATTTGAGTTGACCGTCACGTCAACCGTCTGGAGGGAAAAGCTGTTTTCCGGCACCATGCAGTAGAAATCTCGTTATTGAGTTGGAAGCGGAGGGTTATTGTTGATGCTTGCGTACATTTGTAAATTTCAGCCAACAGCAATTCATATGTACTACTCCAAAATCTGCACTGCCACGGATTGAATCATCGAAACAAATACCATACATGTAAATGGCTGACAAGTCAATAGTAATTGCTGAGAGCACTGACAACATGATGGGTAGTGGGAAGTGCATCACGCACTAGGGGCAAATCCCAAGGTCCAGGCTTCACACCCTCATATAGCCATGGCGCCACTGAATCATTGAACTTGGCAAACGCAGGAGACAGCAGCGCTTCCCAATCAACCTGCAATGCGGAAAATTGTGATGCGCCATGATTACTGTACAGTAAAGAACAATCAAATGTGACGAACAATCGAATGCGAGGAACGATCTCTAGGACACAGACATCTTGCCCCATGCCTGTGAAGGTATGTGTTCACATACCTGTACTCCCTTAGGGATGAAAGCAGTGGTTTCCATGTCAGCAGCCAGGGACAGACCCAGAATGGAGATCAGTCCCACCATGGCAGATCCTCTAGTGAGAGGCATGAACTGATACCTGCAGGCAACAGAAGTTCACCAGTCAAACACAACTGAGGCCGAAATGCAGCAGAGATACCCCGAACCAGGCATTCAGAGAATGGTGTAACCCCAATCTCCGGGCAAGAACAGCCATGCACAGTGGGCCGTACTGACCAGAAGTACCCCAACCGGAGGATGGCGTCTTGAATCGTCTGGCGGTAGCGATGCGGGTCCGCTGCCTCTGTGTGTGCGTCCAGCACTGCGGCACACAGCGCCTGGTGGGAGGGAGGACGGGGAATCAGAGGCATCAGTGCATGCAACACTGCCACACACTGGGACTGGCCAGAGGCGTCACAATGCAAGAAGGGAGTTACCAGAGCACCTGTGCTGCGCAGCGCTGGTAGATGTGGAGATGTCAGCAAAGAAATGACCGGCTGGCATCATGGCGCCCGGCTAGCATCATCGCGCCAAGCTAGCATCGTCAGTGCACACGCACCTCCCATGCTCCTGTGAGCTCCAAGTCTAGGTGCTTCCATCGCGGCCGGTCCACTGACGTGCGAATGGCAAAGTCAAACGACCGAGCGCTGTAGGAATGGACAGGGAGAGGAAGGGAGGATGGCAGCAGATGCAGCGGTGTTTGACAAAGACGTTTCTTCTTGAAATTCTTATAAGTGAGTTCAATATAGATGCAGTGGTGGGCGGAGAGGAAGAAAATGGGGAGGGAGTGGAGGGTGGGGGCAGCAGATGCAGAAAAACGAAATTTTCATGCGCACATGCAGGCAGGCAGGCAGAGGAAAATGAAGAAAACGAGTGAGCACAGGTAAAGCCCCAGAGGCAGGGAAGACGCAAGGCCACAGGATAAGTAACAATGAAAGGCTAGTGCCCCACTCACGATGCGACAATGGAGAATTCTGTCCCGAGAATAGCTTTGCTGCACCACAGAGCCATATAGGCAACAGGAGGGAGATCGGACGTGGAGGAGACGTGCAGGGAGGGAGAGGAAGACAGAGAGAGAAGACGGGAAAATTTAAAGAACAAAAAAAATAAAAATAAAGGATCGATCAGCTACGAATGGTGACAGCAAGAAACAGTGTTGAGGCAACATAGACTAGCTCATAAGCATTTTCCACAGCATTTCCATTAAACATTATCCATAATAGCAGATCACCATGACCATTAGCATAGCCATCGCAACAAGACACCCATCGGCCATAGTTGCCAAAACGTACGCACAGTATAAATGCCACACTGCGCACTGCTCCTACTGACCCTGGAATGGCTTCGCTGAAGCACTGCGAGTTGATGAAGAAATCGCAGCCCACAACTGCATGGAGCTCCTGCAGCGTCGCTGCCCGCTTGATCTGGTGCCACAGGGCAGGTAAGAGAATGAGCAGATGGCATTGAAGGTGAGTCATTTTGTGCAGGGAAAATTATTCTGCGTAATCGGAAGACCTTCCTAACATTTCCGAACCATTCACCGATACATCAGCATATAACCTCAGACATCCAAATGAAACCCCTTTGGCTTACCTTTTCACCATAGATGGCCTTTGGAATGCTGAACTTGCCTCCCAGTGCCGCACCCTGGACGAGAGGTGGAGAGAGCGCAGAGGAGGGGAGGGAGAAAAGAAGCGAGGACAGTAAGGCAAAGGCAAATAGTAAGGAAAACAGAGTGGGAACAGCTGAACATATCATGAATCCACACTATAGCATGAAATTGAATCGCACCATACCATGACCCATCCCCTACCATGAGCCCGTGCACGCTCTTAGAGCTCATGGTCATGCCTGTCGCGTTGAAAGCTTCCTCTGCTTCCAGCAACCGCTGCTTCACCACCTCCAGCGTTCTGATTGGTCCATGGGAGACAGGTGATAAACGATACGCAGATGCAATGTGTGCAAAAATGCGTGATGGCAACAGGGATGTGCTGGTACAACAGAAAGACACACCTCTCAAGCTAATCTAATCAAACTGGACCACAAATCGTTCAATGTAGTGGTGGCTTTTGAATCAACACAACTGTCATACAGGGCTCTGTTGGGTCTCACCTGTCCGTGAGTGGGTAGTACTTGACGTTCTGCATCTGGCCGACTTTTGAGGTGCCTCAAGAATCTCACCTGTCCCTTGGGCCTTAGTCAGATTGGGGCTCGGTTGAGCCTCACCTGTCCGTGAGTGGGTAGTACTTGACGTTCTGCATCTGGCCCACCTGGAGGGCTGTCAGGCCTCCATACCCCCTCTCGATCTCATTCCTGCTTGCACCACAGCAACACAGACGCACAGCACAGACAGTAAAAAATGATTCCAACGCCCACAACCTCGGAATCAGGCAGGGTGGTGGTGAGTACTAAGGTCGCTCGCACACACAGCTGCACTCACTCCAGCAGGTCGATCCAGGCCACAAGGTCCGTGCCCACTCAGGGTTGGAAGGGCAGAGATAGAGAGAAACACTTGAGCTACTCACTCCAGCAGGTCGATCCAAGCCACAAGATCAGTCGGCTCGCCTATCTGCCTCCACGGCACAATCACATTGAACACGTCCCTCCAGCCTGACATCAGCCGCCCTCCCCCTTTCCCACCTCCACGCCCTTTCAACCCTCCCTTTGCGCCCTTCTCTCCCTTCCTGCTGCCTCCTCTCGTCAGCTTGTAGAAAGAGTCCGTGAAAGCCCTTCTACTCAGCTTTCCCCTCTTGCTGGTCCTTCGCCTGGGCTGTTCAGATATCTCATTCCGTGGATTTGATCCTTGAGGACTGGACCCGGACCCATCTTCCTCATCCACTCGCTCCTCCTCTCCTCCGTTTTCTATCACTCCTCCCTCCACTGCCTCGCCCTCTTCGCCCTCCTGTGCCATTCCCTCCCATGCAGTCCGAACCTGCCATGCCAGACACATGGAATGGGGAAGGTAAGGTAAGAAGGAAGGGAAAGGGGATGGGAGGGGGAAAGTGAAGACGAACCTGGTGGGATGGTGCCTTGCGGCTATCCTTCAGGTCAGGTGAGGTGGGTGGGGCTGTAGGGCTCGTGCAAGAAAGAGACATGAGTGCATGATAGAGACGGGTAGAGATCGACTGCTGAGGTGAGGTGATTTGTGGAACTGACGCTACATGCAGCGAGTGGGGAGGGCAAGAGAAAGGGCATGGGACGGAAATAAACGGTTCTCACCTGCTGCATCACGTCTAGAGCTGCCAGCCCTGCCATGCGGAACTGCAGGAGGATTGGATCGGGGCAGACAGACGACAGCAAGGAAGGGAAGGAATGAAGAGCGCTGACATGGCCATGTGCACAGGCGATGCTCCCCTTGCAGATTGTGCCCCTGCTTCCTCTACCCGCTCAAGAGTCGTAACATAGCACGGTGTACAAGCCAAGGCGGACTAAACTAGACTAAATAGTCATGAACACTTGTCACCAGCTCACCTGGCGCTTGTTGGGCATGAAGCCGTCCAGAAAGTACTGCGTCCGCTTCCCGATCTCATCCGCACTTTCAATAAGCTCCAGGGCCCCGTCTGACAGCTCAGGTAGGCCAGGGGATTTGCCTTTGCTCCTGGCGCCTGGGGGGAGGTCTAGGGGGCGGTATGTGCGGGCCAGCACTGTGGGTGGTAGCCGGCGGATCCAAGCCTCCTGTGGATGCGGGGGAGGGGAGGGGAGGGGAGTTGAGGAAAAAAGAACGGGGGATGGATTGGAGGAAGGAGGAAAGAGAGCAGACACGGAACATAGTGGGAGGATGGCGAACAAAGTAAAAGAGGAGGAGGGGGGGGGGAAATGTTGTTAGGGAAGGGAAAGGGATGGACAGGAACGCAAGACAAGAACATCAATGTAGCACTCATGCGACAGGGATGAGAGTTTTTTGTTTGGAGCATGCAAGGGCGGTACGTGCCTTGAAGTTGACATCCAGGTCTCGGTCAATTTGGAAGTCGAGGAAAGGGCGGGCAAGTTTGGACCATGTGTACGTGGCAATGTCCCTCTGAGGATGTGCAAGGAGGGAGGAAACGGAGAAGGTAGTACATAGGTAAGGGGCGTGGAAGGTTTGTGGTATGCTGGGAGAAACCATGAGGGTATTGAAGAAGCTGTGAAGGATACGACAACAAGAGAAAAGAGAGAAGGGAGGGAGTGGCAGCAAGGAGGGCTGGAAAAATCATGGGGGGCCCACCTGATAGAAGGCCAAGGACTGCTGGACCTGCGCATACTCGCTGGCTGCTTGAGCAGGCAATGATAGAATCACACTGTACTGCTTTATCTGCAACAGCCATTAGTGCATATGCATACCGTGTTGGGGCGGGGAAAATGAGGGGAGGTGGGGTTGAGGAGGGGAAGGAAATGGAGTAGGCGGGTTAAGAAGGTGGCAAGTTCAGTTCAATATTCATGATAGTCATGTGTAAAAGCGATACGAACCCGTGAATTGCACGCAAAACGCGATCTGAATCCATGCTGGATTCTGTTTCTCAGTACCCATGAGATGACAGACATGACTAACCACCCATGCCATGCTAAAGCAATTCGAACCCATGGGAATGAATGAAAATACAAGGCAAATCTTACTGCAGCATTGTAGTCCCCAACTGCATGCAGCGAGGAAGCTTCCAGGTAGTTGAGCTCAATGTCCATTGGCTTGAGCTTCAGCCCCTTGCGGGCGTACTTGATGGCGTCTCTGATAAGGGGCAAAGGAAGAGAGGATGCACACAGGCAGACGGACGTGTTAGAGTGAACTCACAGCACACCTTGCACTTGATGACGCTTCTGATGAGGGATGAGGGGAGAGAGGATACGCACAGGCAGACAAATGATGCGAGGAAAGGGTGTGCAACGAAGCTGAGATGAAAACAAGGGGAAAACGGAAGGAGTGGGGAAGTGGGCCAGAAGAATAATGGGAGGGGAAGAAGAAGCTGTGGTGGGAAGGAAGGGGGGGAAGAGGATAACAGAGAGAGGCAATAGACCAGGAACGTAGAAGACCCTTGTGATTCCCCGTTTCCCCCATCCCCCCCCCTCTCCCTCCCTCCCCCTCCCCCCCCTCCCCCACCCCCTCCCCTTCTCCCCTCCCTTCCTTGAGCTGGCTCAACCCTCCCGTGGTCCGGCTTGTGTAAACAGTCTCACCTGTGGTCCGGCTTGTGTAAACAGTCTCACCTGTGGTCCGGCTTGTGTAAACAGTCTCACCTGTGGTCCGGCTTGTGTAAACAGTCTCACCTGTGGTCCGGCTTGTGTAAACAGTCTCACCTGTGGTCCCCAATGCTCTGCAACTGAAGGCCCAGCCGTAGATATGCCTCTGGTGACCTGCACTCACCGCACTCATGCACAAATGCACCAATGCACCCATACATGTTGCATACATGTGAAAATGCATGCACGCACATGTGTCGGACATGCACACATCCCAACATGCAAACATGCACACACACACACACGCATCCACAGACAGGCATACATGCATGCGGTCATCATACATGCATGCTCAAATACAACAAGAAGACACAGGAACACAGACACACGGGACGACATACACAAACAGCGTGAGTGTAGACACAAACAGCATATGTTCTCAGCCCCCTCCCAACCCACACACGTCCTCCTCACCCCCCACCCCCCCGTGCACAGTGCCTTTGCCTGCCAACAATCTTGCTGCCTCTGACACTCTGCTGTCACCCACCAGGTCACCCCCTTTCAACTCACTCTTCCAACGCGAGCGCCTTGTGCAGTGCAGCCACTGCAAGGTCCGCCTGGCCCAAATGTTTTACATCCGAGTCGACTCAAAGATCTGCCTTCACGCACACACCTACCTGGTCACCCCGCCTTGACTCACTCTTCCAGCGCAAGCGCCTTGTGCAGTGCAGCCACTGCAAGGTCCGCCTGGCCCAGCTCCTTGTGCGCACGGCCCTTGTCACTCCACAGCAGCGCCACTCGTGGGTGCCGCCTCACTGCCTCCTCCATCACCTCAACCGCATCCCTCCACTGCCCTGCTCCTCCATAACTTAAGGCCTGAACGAAGCGGGGAGGAGAGGGAAGGAGGGAGCTTGAAGAGACCAAAAAAAGTACCGCAGGCTTCCAAATTTACACTACGTGACCAGCCCTTGTCACTCCATAGCAGAGCCACCCCGTGGGTGCCGCCTCAATGCGTCCTCCATCACCTCAACCGCGTCCCTCCACTGACCCGCTCCTCCATAGCTTAGGGCCTGATTGAGGGAAGGGGAGGGGAGGGAAGGGGATGAGTTTGAGTCGACGAGTCAAAAGTATGTTTGGCCTGGTGCTCTGATTGCAGTGCTATGAGGTGTGTGAAACTGCCACTTTTGAGCCATCTCAGAACTCACCACGGCACGGATGAGCATGCGGTCCTTGGGTTGGCGCTTGAGTGCGGCAGTGAGGTCGCTCATGCTCATGGTCACTCATGGTCTGCAAAAGGTGACGGTTGAGGTGCCTCAGAAGTCAGAACTCACCACAGCACGGATGAGCATGGGGTCCTTGGGCTGGCGCTTGAGTGACGCAGCAAGGAGGCCGATTGGCGTCATAAATGAGGTGCGCGATAAAGCAACTATCAAGTCATCTCAAAACTCACCACAGCACGGATGAGCATGGGGTCCTTGGGCTGGCGCTTGAGTGACGCAGCAAGGAGGCCGATTGGCGTCATAAATGAGGTGCGCGATAAAGCAACTATCAAGTCATCTCAAAACTCACCACAGCACGGATGAGCATGGGGTCCTTGGGCTGGCGCTTGAGTGCGGCGGTGAGGTCACTGATTGCCGTCCAGAAGTCACCCGCCTGGAAGGCCAGCACTCCTGAAGGCACACGGTACGGAGGGAGCAGCAGAGCATAGCATTCTTTTAGGGCGACTGTGTGTTAGGATGTCTGCTCGTTTCGTCGCTGTTGAGCTGATGACTGAACTCAGAGTGAAATGCCCTAAGAATGGGACACGTACAGCCCAAAGCGGAAACATTGATCTTCAAATCTCAAGCAAGACTAGCATGACGCTCCCTCATGGTCACCTCTGCAATCTCTCAAGGTGGTGTGGCTCGAGGTGCAGAGCGTGGGAGTAGCGGATGCTTGAGTCAACTCAAACACCCCTCACCTCTTTCCTGAATGGTCTCAGGGTGGTTTGGCTCGAGTTCTAGAGCACGAGAGTAGTCGCTCAGGGCGTCTGCCTGCCTCCCCATGGCCGCCAGCAGGTGCGCCCGGCGCCGCCAGAAGTCCGCCACATGTGGGTAGTGCTCTGTGCCCTGAGGGTGTAGGGTGGGACCGTGGGGAGGCGGAAGCGTGGAGGAGGAGGGAAAGGGTTTCGAGAGATGCAGAGAAGTGTAAGCAGGGAAGAGGGCAGCAGCTGAGCCTGCAGTCACCAAAAGAATGTGACGCGTGGGCAACGTATTGTGCTGAGAGGGGTGCGGAAGAGTTGAAATCGGACAACGCAATCAGCCAAGTTATCCCTAAAGATGACCACCATTGGAAGCCCCTCGAGTTGGTCAGGTCAATGAGAGAAGCCTTATCCGTGTGCCCCAGAAGTGTGAAGTGCTTACCCGGGTGAGATCCTTTAGTGCCTTCTCCTTATGGCCCAGGAAAGTGTTGGCGATGCCTCGGCCCAACAGCACATGCTGCTGCACCTCGGGATGATCCACTCTGTCCAGCTGCCAGGGGGAGCGAATGGTGAGAGGGGAGAGAATGGAGTGGGGGATGTGAACCCAAGTGATGAGACGTTTTGCAGCGTCTCAAGCCCCAACAGCACGTGCTGTTGCACCTCGGGATGATCCACTTTTTCAAGCTGCCAGCAGGGGATAATGGAGAAGGGGTGGGGTGTCAATACAGATAGCGAGGAGGAGCTGGAAGGAGCAAAGCTTCCCATCCCTCCCTTAACGAACCACCAATGAAGAAAAAAGCAATAATGCTCGCTTAAAGCCCCGGTCACTTCTGCTCACCTTGCTGAATTCAAGAGCAGCTTCCGAGTAGCTTCCCTGCCGTAACTGTTGGGTCGAGAACGGATGAAGGGGGGGGTAGAGACAATGTCATGAAAAGGTGAAGCAAAGCATAGTACAGGTGTACATGTGAACTGAAGCCACTCCAACACTCTTCAGGTATATTCCTTTTCTTTCCTGAACAAAAACGTCCGCCAGCCTCACAATCCAGAGCTCCTTCATACCCTTCTCTCCGCCTTTCGACTCGCAACCAAATCAAAGTAGCACCGTCTCAACTTACCGCAGTAAACGCTCTGCCGAGCACCAAGTGGTGCGCGGGATCCGCTCTCATGCCCTGAGCCCCACTGCCCACCCCTTGCTTCGCTCTTGTCTGCCTCTGCTGCTTGTCCGCCTCTGCCTTCTGCTCCTGCTGCCTCATTATCCGCTTCAGCCTCTCCTCTTTCGTCTCCTCATTACCCTCCTCACTCTTCTTCCTCTCTGCCTCTGCTTTCCTCTCTTGTTTCTGCGTCGCCTGCCTCTCTATTCCCGTTCTTGTGATACCCGGTGCCTCTTCCAACCCGCTTCTGTTTTTTTCAACTGTCAACTTCTCCTCTGCCGCTCCACTCCTTGCCCGCCCTACTTCTCCCAAGCTTCTCCCAGTGCCTCCCTCAGCGGTTCTTCCTCCTCCCCCTCCCCCATCCAGGCGCATCAGGGCGCACAGATCTTCTCCCCCCAGCAGCGGCTTCCCCCCTCGCACAAGGGAGGGGAGATCACAGGAGGGTGGAGGAGGCGAGGAGGGGGGAGGCGGAGGAAGGAGCTTGAACAGCTTAGTTCCTGTGGAAGGGAAAAGTGGGGGGGATATCAAAGGGAAAGTTACGCAGGTGAGAATTAAAGGGAGCCAGACGGAGTGGGAAGGCAGAAAGGAAACGTTACGGGATGTTTTGTGATAACTGTTCATGCATGCCGGCACCTTTTTTAGTGAATGGAAGAAGGCATATGTGATTATCCACGCGTTGACGACGGTCATTTGTTGTCAGTTGCTGAGCTGGCACTGACGCGAGCAAATGCACCTCCCAGTCACATAAAGACGGATTCCTGGGGATGACGTGCGGGTCAAGTATAATGGTGAGAAAGGAGTTAGAATTCCACGACGGTGACCCCAACCAGAAGCAATTCAGAGCGGCAAAAGCGGAGGAGAAGTACCAGGACATAAGACGAAGACTAGAGGACGAATGAGCTGAATGGGCTCCTGACGGATTTCAAGTCGTCTCGAAATCCATGCGCCAACGACAGCGAACAATGACACCCATGTGACTGAGCGTTTGCGAATCGCACCATGTGAGCTTTTCCAAAGAAGGAAGCAAACCCTTGGCTCCGTTGGTCCTCTCATCCTCGTCGCAGCTGCGCGCCGAGCTCGGCAGCACGAACCCCGCTGTCGCCTCTGGCGATTCACCCTCCCGATTGCGAGTTGCGGGAGGGGCGAAATTCGTTGCGGTATAGTAGCGTCCGGTGAAGACATTGCACAGGGTGAGGTTCAGCGAAAGGCATAGGAACGTCGCACGAACTGCACGAGGTGAAGGCACCATCCTAAAGGGCCTAGGTGTGGCGGAGTCTTAAGTCCGAGGCGCCTCAGAACCATCAGTAAGAGGCGGCGGATGGACTCGCGCCTACGATGGAATTACGAGGTTTCGACGTTCTTAGGAGGTCCGCATTGACGCAGGTCGATGTGCGGGTCAGGTGGGTCGTGCTCGCGACCCGACCCAGACTAAGCTTGTTTTGTCAGTCCTGCGACCAGGTCTGTTTCGTCAGTCCTACGACTAATGCGACTGGAAAGTCTGATGTGAAACCTGCGACCAATGCGATCGAGTCTCCATTGAAGTCCTGCGACGAAATCCTACAGTAATCAGCTCGATCACGTCCAAAATTTGATTCGGCTGCTGCGTGAACCAAACGGAGTGGAAGATACCCGCTTTGGTTCTCAGGCGAGGCGAGACTACGGCTTCAAATGAAAGAGGTGATGAATGGTCCTGGTCCTGGAAATACTGACATGTCAATCCTCGCATTAGAATGCTCGCTACAAGATTTGTAAGAAAAAAAGGGCTACAAAATGGAGCATGCTTGCACACTTACATTTACAAACTGAGCACACCTAAATCTGCACTGCGAAGGCTTGAAGCATCCATACGAACATGTGATAACTGACATATTATGGTCTGATTGATCAATAAGTAATGCATTGAGAACATCAAGTGTTTTGAGAAGTGCATCATGCACGCAGGCAAGTCCCAAGGTGCAGGCTTCAAGCCCTCATACGGTATATCCATGGCGCCACAGAACTGATAAACGTTGCAAACGTTGAAGAAAGAAGTGCGTCCCAATCAACCTGCAACGCACATATTTAGGATAGACCATAATCACATTCAAGAACAATCAAAAGGGAAATCATCAAAAATACATCCAGGGCTTGAGGGCTTCTTGACTTGACCGATGACTGCAAGGGTGTGACAGAACGCACCTGCACTCCCTTAGGAATAAAAACAGTGGTTACCATGTCAGCAGTCAGGGACAGACCCAGAACGGAAATACCCTCTAGTGAGAGGCTTGAACTGATACCTGCAGGCACCAGAGATTCACCAGTCAGACACAACTGAGGCCAAAATGCAGCAGCTATACCCCGACCAGGCATGCACAGAACGTTGTAACTCCACCCACTGACCAGGCATGCACAGCACAGCAGTGTCTCCATTAGAATGGGTCAGGCCGACTTCCTTTACAATATATGCATCACTGCTCAGACTGGTGGGTAGCGGTTCAATCCTCATTGACTGTGTCTTGCGTCAGGCAGTCAATACATCAAAGAAGCAACTGAGAGGATCCACAACGAGAATTCTGAACATTGAACCTGTTGGCCATGGTTGGTGGTAAAAATGCATGATTCAGAACAGTTGGCATGGCTTCGGAGTACGTATGACTGATAATGTGAACGATTTCAGTAAATTCCTGACAGATACCCGCAACAACAGTCACTCTGTAAGTGAGCTACAATCTTGATTGACATAACACTCACCAATATATGACCCACAGAAGCTTGTGGATAATGGTCAACAATCTGCATTGTTGATAAAGTCTCGCTCATCATTACCTGCAGAACACAGCAGAGTCGTCAGTTCTGAACTATGCTCAAGCAACGAACCTGCATTCTTGACTTCAAACCCAGGGTACATGACATGTTGACGGATCATACTCACCATTATTGTATCAATATCTTGTCCATAGCGCTGATAGGACCGGCACTTTTGGATTCAGGCTTGTTAAATATCCCCTAGAGCGAAACTTCGGGTTCTGCCAGAGTTTCGCGGCATTATGGCCAGTTACGTGCACCGGTCACACGGCACTTGCTGGCAATAACCTGAAAATACAGTCGAAGTTAATGTCAATCATTGCGTGAAGCATCCATATTCTCATGATTAACAGAACGCTGTCGCATTCACGCGTAAGTAAACCGCATTTTTTAGAATGGACTTGCTGATTACGAACTTCAGAATGTTGTTTTGAATCTTCGAGCGGACGACTGTAGGCTACATAATCAGCATCGAACTCACTACGAATCATGAACTGAAAGCCTTAGACAGCCCGCTGCTCCTATCACGAAAACATTTACCGAGAAGCGTCGTGTGATCTCGAAAGATCTCTATCCATGGTATGACCCAGTTCACATCACCAGCCTAGCCAGGATTTCGTTCAGAGTTTCCTTGTGAAATGTGTGTGACATGCTTCATGCGCACTGGATGGGATCAGCAACGCAAACCCGTCAACATCGAGGCACCGCCGCGAACCACTTCACAAAGTAGAGGGGTGCGTTCTGAAAAGAACTACTATAGAAGTGATAGAATTCATTTCTTAGATAGCACACATGGCATTACATGGCACGTACCTAAAATAAAGGACACCAGGACACACATCATTTGTAGCTCAGAGCAGCCAGTACGTGGCGTGTGGTTGGCAGCGCCTCTCGCACAATAGGGAGGTGCCAAGGCGACCGCTTAACAGAAGAATAGAGCCAAGGAGCAACCGCATCGTAGAAGTCTTGAAAGCGAGTTGCAAACAGCCCTTCCCAGTCAACCTGACACACACCAGCAAGCAAACCGGAAAACAACCCTTTACGCCTCGCAATGTGGTGCCGCTGTGTCATTTACCGCACATCCTTATGGATGCGGGAGTGATTTACGCGGAGACATGGAGAGATGGAAAGCGGAAGCACTACCACCAGCACTATACCGGACTCACCAGAACATCCCTTGGGATGCGCGCAGTGGTTTCCATGTCAGCAGCCATGGAGAGGCCGAGGATGGAGATGAATAGAGGGGTAAAGGAAGGATGGACTTACCAGGACATCCCTTGGGATGCGCGCAGTGGTTTCCATGTCAGCAGCCATGGAAAGGCCGAGGATGGAAACAAGCCCCACCATGGCGGACCCGCGGGACAGCGGCATGAGCTGGAACCAGTAGTAGCTGATGCGCAGAATGTTCTCCCGAATGCGCTGCTGGTACAGGCTGCTGTCCGTGGCCCTCGTGGGCAGATCTAGCACCGCCGCTGACAGGCTCTGCATTGAGGAAGAGTTACATGGGGGAGAGGGAGAAGGGGAGGGGATAAGGAGTTATACGGGGAGTGTGGTGCCTGGAAGCACAACCATAAAGAGTGCCATCCGCGCACCTACCACCTGCACTTCAACTGCTTGCGCCACCAGCACAGCCAGCACCGGTACCTGCAGCACAGGCAATACTAGCAGCAGAACCATCACCAGTACCAGCACCAGCAGCACAGGCACCGGCACCAGCACCAGCAACACAGGCAGCAGTACAGGCAATGACAGCGCTGACCTCCCAGGCCGCGGTGAGCTCATCATCCAGCTGACCCCACTGCGTGGCAGAGTTCTTGGTGTACGTCTGAAACACCATACCAGCAGCACAAGCACCAGCACCAGTACCAGCAGCACAGGCACCGCCACCAGTGACAGTAACGGTCACACTGACCTCCCAAGCTGAGGTGAGCTCGTCATCCAGCTGGCCCCACTGCGTGGCAGAGTTCTTGGTGTTGGTCTGGAAGTCAATTTAACAGCACCACTGGTACCAGCAGTGCAACGCCATACCAGCAGCACAGGCACCAGCACCAGTACCAGCAAGAAAGCACACACCTCCCAGGCGGCAGTGAGCTCATCATCCAGCTGCCCCCACTGCGTGGCAGAGTTCTTGGTGTACGTCTGAAAGTCGATTGACAGCGCCCTGAGGAGCGGGACAAGCAGGATGGTTGGGCAGAACGGCGGGCGCGATTGAAGGGAGGGGGTTGGAACAACCGGATGGATTGGGTAGAGGAGGGTAGCCGGGCGAAACGGGGGATGAAGCGTGGGTAGCAAGGAGGGTGAGAGCATGGGACAATGAGGCCTTGAGATTGCAGAGTCGGAATGAGAGGGCAATAGAGAGAGGTGGTGCATGGAGGTGAGTGCTCACTTCTTTTCCAACTTGAACTCTGTTCCATGCAAGACCGTCCTGCATGCGCGGGAGGGAGACGAGGAGCATTCGAACGAGAAAGACGGGCCAGAGTTGGAGACAGGGGAGTGGGGACGTGTATTGCAGCCAGCAATTGGCATACCAGACAAACATCTGCCATCATGCGAGCACACAGGTCACATCGAGTGCGCAACCCCAGCATGGACGGAGGTAGGGGTGGGGCATGCTGATATAAGAGCACATATCAGCATGCACACATCACGTTGCAAATCAACTGATCCGGGGTTGGCCATACTGTGCACGGGCAAGCGCAGGTACAAGTCCAGACCGATTGCATGGTACAGATTCTTGAGTCGACTCAGAAATCGGCTTGGTACAGAATTTCTAGTCGAGCGAAAAACTGGCATGGTGCCGACAATTGAGTCGAATCAACTGAGGGATGAACTGACCCAGGTTTGGCCATGCTGTGCAAGGGCAGGCGCAGATAGAAGTCCCGACCAATTGCATGGTACAGCCCCTCATGGCCCTTTGCTGCTTCTATCTGCCTCACACAGGGCAGGGAAGCACAGGGATGGAAAGAGCAGCAAGGAGGAGCACAATGAAGCATTGTACAGCCTCTCATGGGCCCCTGCTCATGGCATAATGGCACTGTAACAAGGTGACCCTTGAGGCAGGTATGAAGATCACGAGAGGTGCGCTTCACCTTGGGTCCATAGGTGTCGCGAGGGACAGGGATAACATTGTCAAATACTGATCCTCGTAGGTGTCATCCTCGTCCAGAGCATCCTGCCTCCAAGCAAATTCTGATCCTCTCCGGCTAGAAGCTCAAGTTACGCCGCACCTTGGGTCCATACACGTCACGGGGGACAGGGATAACGTTGCCATCCTCATCCAATGCTTGCTGCCCCTCCAGTAGCCCCCTCCGCGTCACTTCCACTGCCCTGATGGGCTCACACACAGTGGGAAAAAAGGGCGAGCGTAGGGGGGTGGAACGGGAGAAAGGTAGGGACAAGGTAGGGTAGGGAGGTGGATGGGGGACCAAGTGCAATCTAACATGTCACAAGCAGCACTGCCTGCTTGACACAGCAAAGCTAGCATGTGCATCAGTCAACTATGTGGTGTTGTGAATAAACTTTTGAGGCGCCACAACAGGCATGTGCCTCAGTCTACATGGCACCACAGCTGTCATAGCTAGCATTGTATTTTGCAACTGAGCTGCTTCCACATGCGGATTTCCCATCAGGTTCCCCATCAGCTTCCCCATCAGCTTCCCCATCGGTTTCCCCATCAGGTTCCCCATCCGTTTCCCATCCGTTTCCCCATCAGGTTCCCCATCAGGTTCCCCATCAGGTTCCCCATCAAATTCCCCACCCCATCAGGTTCCCCATCAGGTTCCCCATCAAATTCCCCACCCCATCAGGTTCCCCATCAGGTTCCCCACCCCATCAGGTTCCCCATCAGGTTCCCCCCATCAGGTTCCCCCCATCAGGTTCCCCCCATCAGGTTCCCCCCATCAGGTTCCCCCCATCAGGTTCCCCCCATCAGGTTCTCCCCCATCAGGTTCCCCCCATCAGGTTCCCCCCATCAGGTTCCCCCCATCAGGTTCCCCCCATCAGGTTCCCCCCATCAGGTTCCCCCCATCAGGTTCCCTCCATCAGGTTCTCCCCATCAGGTTCCCCCCATCAGGTTCCCTCCATCAGGTTCTCCCCATCAGGTTCCCCCCATCAGGTTCCCTCCATCAGGTTCTCCCCATCAGGTTCCCCCCATCAGGTTCCCCCCATCAGGTTCCCCCCATCAGGTTCCCCCCATCGGGTTCCCCCCATCAGGTTTCCCCCATCAGGTTCCGGGATGAGATGGGAATGCTCAATATCTAAGATGTCATCTACATGCCATGTCACTGCACCTACAGGGCAGGGCGCCACCGCACCTGTCATAGATAGCATTGTATTTGGAGCTAAACTGCTTCCACATGTGAATGGGAGTGTGCGAATGAAAGCTCCCCTGAAAGCGCTGGTTCCTGAAATGCAGGTGGGGGCAGCACAAGGGCAACAGAAGGGCAAGACAAGGGCACACCTGTCATAGATGGCATTGTACTTGGCGCTGAGCTGCTTCCACGTGTGGATCGGAGTGAACGACTGAAAATTGCCCTGGAATCGCTGGTTCCTGCGAGTCAGGGGACACAAGGGAGAAGAAAGGCTGCCATTCAGAGGTCGCTCAGAGGTCGCTCGGCAGTCGCTCGGAAGGAGTTTAAAGGCCGTTCAGGGGCGAACATATCAGCGCCGCGTGTTCGGCAAATCGGGCGAGCGCTAAGGAAAAGGAAAGGAAAGGCGGGTAAGAACGGAGAAGGAGCAGGCAAGAGGGAGAGAGAAGAGGAGGCGGGCGGGCGGGACAGACTTGAACAATCCAAAGGCTCGGTGGGGTCGGAGGGGAAGGGGAAGCGAAGGGAAGGGAGGTTTAAAGGGAGGCAGCGAGCAGGCACGGCATGGAGGAGACAGAGAGGCAGCGAGCAGAGGAGGCGGGCGGGACGGACGTACTTGAACATGGCCTTCCAGAGAGGCGGCTCGGTGGGGTCGGAGAGTTGTCGCCACGGCACCATGACCTGGAACAGCTGCCTCCAACTGCCCACCAGCTGCACTGACTCGGCCCCACTGCTCCCTCCACTCCCACCACTGCCTGAAAAACGCTTCAGCGGCATCCTAGGGGGCGACGTGAGCTTGTCCCACTCCCCCTCGCCCTCCTCTTCTTCTCCGGCTCTCCCCTCCTTAGCCCCCTCGCCCTCCTCCCCCTCCTCGTCGTCGTCTTCCACAATGCTTGGCAGGCGCCCCCCGTCTGCTATGGCCTCCCACGTGGCCCGTACCTGCTGCATCACATCTAGGGCTGCCAGCCCTGCCATGCGCAGCTGAGGTGGGTGGGAGGATTGTGGGGAAGGGGGGAGCGGGAGGAGGAGGAGATGAATGGGTTGAGGAGGAAGGGGTGGGTGGGGGAGGCATCTCACGTGGAGGTTGCATCGTGTGACAGCTGGACATGATGCCACGTGTCATATCTGAACAGCTGGACTTGGTGCCACGTGTCTCACCTGCTGCTTGTTTGGCATCACGCCATCCGTATCGTAGTGGGCCCGCCATCCAATCTCATCGGCCGCTGCGATCACAGCCAACGCCGCCTCTGACAGCTGTGGCAGCAACTGCCACGTGGCACCCTCCAATTGGCTGGCAGGGACAGATAAATTCTGGTAGTTGGGCAGGCCTGGAGGCACCCTCCTGTTCAGCCACGCCACCTGCCATGTCAGTGTCAGTCAACAGCAGTCAACGTCAGTCAACAGCAGTCAGCGCCAGTCAACAGCAGTACATGGCATGCATGGTGGGGCCAGCCGGCATGCAAAGAGTACAGAGCATGAGTAGGGGCTGTAAGCATGCATGGATGGCACAGAGCGTGCGTAAAGGCTGCACTGTAGCATGCATGTCATGGTGGCATGACGTGGACAGACCTTGAAGTCCACATCCATGTCATCATCTATCTGAAAGGCTGAGAAGGGCTGGTGCAGCATGGGCCACTGGGGAAAGGACACTGGGGAAGGGCCATCGGGCCACTACAGTCCACGGCATGCAAGGCATGCATGGAATGGAACTGACCTTGAAGCCCACGTCCATGTCGTCTTCTATCTGAAAGGCTGAGAAGGGCAGGTGCAGCATGGGCCACTGGGGAAGGCCATCGAGCACTGGCATGCAAGGCATGGTAGTGACAGACCTTGAAGTCTACATCCATGTCATCGTCTATCTGGAAGGCTGAGAAGGGCAGGTGACTTTTGAGTCGACCCTTGCGTTGACTCTCGAGTTGACCTTTTAGTTGACTTTTTAGTCGACTCAAAAGGCATGGCATGGCATGGCATGGCATGGCATGGCACACACCTTGAAGTCCACATCCATGTCATTGTCTATCTGGAAGGCTGAGAAGGGGCGGTCGAGCCGCGCCACCGTGTATAGCAGCACCTCCCTCTGATGGGGTGCAGTTGTATGGGGGGACATACCGGGAGAAAGCATGGGAGAGGAAGAGTGAGGTTGAGAAGGGAGAGAGAGCGTTGAAAAGCAGGTGGGACGAGCATGGAGGAGCGAGAGCGCTGAGAAGGGCAGGTGCAGCATGGGCACAATGTACGGCAGCAGCACCTCCCTCCCTTTGATATGCACCAGTTGATTTACACACAGGCCGGCGAGCAGGAGGGATGCGCGGACACGGGGGAGCAGGAGGGATGCGCGGACACGGGCGAGCAGGGAAAACGCACAGACAGGGCGAGCACAACGAATGAGCAGGTGGAAGGAGAGGGGTGGAGGGTACCTGGTAGTAGGAGACTGCCTGGTTGAACGTCATGTGCTTCTCTGTGGCCGTTGCGAGGAGATGGTCGTAAAAGGAGAGCTGCGACAGACGGATGCGCAGGGGAGAGAGGACAGAGGGACATAGGGACAGATGGACAGAGGGATAGAGTGACAGAGGGAACAAAACAGATGAAGCAGGGCAGGCAGAGGACAGAAAGAGCGCAGCACACTGAGACTTTTGAGTCGACACATCTGTAGCATTCACATCTGTAGACTCACGGCTGTAGCATGGTCGCCCAGCGTGTGGTGCGTGGAGGCGCGCACGTACAGCAGCATTGGTAGCCATAGCGGTCACATATGTAGCAGCAGGGACTCACAGCTGTAGGATGGACTCACGGCTGTAGCATGGTCGCCCAGCGCGTGGTGCATGGAGGCGCGCACGTACAGCAGCTCCTCGTCCTCTGGCCGGAACGCCAGCCCCTTGTTGCACCACTCGATGGCGCCCCTGTGCGGTTAGGTTGGGTGCGGTGCAGAGGGGTGCAGATAGGTGGAATGAGTTTCTAGGAGTCTCAGAGATCTCTCACAGGAGGTGCATGGAGCACGTACAGCACCTCGCTGTCTTCTGGGTGGAACGCCAGCCCCTTGTTGCACCACTCTATGGCGCTCCTGCGCGGTTGGGTGCAGTGCAGAGGGGTGGGGATGGGTGAGGTGCGTTCTGAGTCGACTTAGTAATCAGCTCTATGGCATTCATGTGTGGTTGGAGCGAAGGGGGTGGATGGGGGGGGGATGCAAGAGAGAAGGGAAAATGTGCTGCTGCGGAAAGCATGAAGGGAAACCAAGCCAGTGCTTGCTGCTGCAGCACTCGCATGTAGCATGGTGACAGACACACACAGAACAGAACCAGCCCTTATTCAGAGTGCAAGGGTTTTGATGGTGCATGGTGTAGAGCTAGGTGTATTACATGACTATTAAAAACCTTTTTCCCTGGCTCACCAGTGATCCCCTTGATAACGCCTCGTGGCTACCAGGTTGCGGTATGCATCAATGTTCCTGCCACCGCACACGACCGCGCACAACCACACACAACCACACACAACCACACACAGCCACGCACAACCACGCACAACCACACAGGGGAAAAAGCAGAGATACGCTAATAATTTGCTCTCACAGGCAGAGCAAATGACAGCAGCCCCCTCATTCCCCTTCCCACCGCTCCTCTCCCCTCCTCTCCACTTTCCTCCCTCCCCGCCAAGCCCACCTCTCCTCTCACCTCACCTGGTCCCCTTTGCCCAAGATGCAGTGCTATCCCCCCTTCTGCTGCACCCACGCCTCGCCCTCCCACAGGTGTGTCTTCCCTGAGTGTGCCTCCCCTGGCTGTGCCTGCACGTTTCTCCCATTCCCACCCATCCCACCACCCACCCACCCCATTTGGACAATGAGAGCGCCATGCCATGAAAGAGCGCCACATTCCCTCCCCTCCCCTCCCCACACTCTGCTCATCACCCACCCCACGCTACCCACCCCTCCCCACCCCTCCCCACCCCACCCACCCGCAGCACCTACTCTTGCACAGAGAGCGCCATGAGCAGCGAGTCCACAGCCTTGTCCCCCTCGCCCAGGATGCGGTGTGTGATGCCCTTCTGCACCCACGCCTCGCCCTCCTCCGGGTGTGCCTCCCCCAGGTGTGCCTCCCCCGGGCGTGCCTCCCCTGAGCTTTCCTCCCCTGGGTGCTCCTCCCCCGGGCGTGCCTCCCCAGGGTCCGCCTGCACGGCCGCCTCCCAGAACGGCTGTGACTCGCGGTAGCGGTTGAGGCGCAGCAGCGAGAGCCCGACCTGCGTGAGCAGCTGGGTGTTGGTCGGGTCGCGTGTGAGTGCAGGGACGAGGTCTTCCAGTGCTGCTGCGTAGTGCTCTATCTCAAACGCACTCATGCCTGTGATGAAAGGGGGGATGTGGAGGGGGCGGGGTAGGAGGATGGGTAGTTGCAGCGAGTAAGCCACCTGTGTGATAATAAACGGCTGCATATGTGGTGGTGTGGTGGTGTGGTGATGTGCTATTCGAGAAAATGCACAAGCTTTTCCTTCCCAACGCGACATTTGAGTCGACTCAAAAGCTTTTCCTTCCCAACGCGACATTTCCCCGCCTTACCGCGGAATTGCCGGGCCCTGTCGTTGTGAGGGTCGAGCTCCACTGCCTTGACAAAGGCACTGTGCGCCTGATGGGGGGGGGGGGGAGTGTGGAGTGGAAGGCAAGGGGATGGAAGGACGCAGGAAGCAGGAGAGAACGAGAAGCGGGTTGTGAACATTCTCAAAAACTACCTGTTGTTGTGGGGGTCAAGCTCCACTGCCTTGACTTGACAAATGCACTGTGCGCCTGATGGGGGGTGTGCAAGGCATGGGGGGGAAAGGATGCATGACACAGAAGTGTGTGTTATATCCCTACGCCAGGTTGACCCAGTACTCTGCCTTCTCTGTTGAGCCGACTCTCTCAGCATTGGGTAGCTCACTCACATGGCCATGGTGGTCCAGAATGGTGTATAGTATTCCTGTCCCACCTCCACCTCCACCCAGTATTTCCGAGTCATCTCAAGCATCAAGCAGCTTACTCACGTTGGCATAGTCGTTCAGAAGGGTGTACTCCTGCCCCAGCTTTATCCAGTAGAATTGCCGTTTTTCCAAGTCACCTAAAGCATAGAGCAGCTTACTCACATTGGAGTAGTCGTTCAGAAGGGTGTACTCCTGCCCCAGCTCCACCCAGTAGTTTGCCTTGTGCGGCTGCTTCTCCACTGCCTGCAGTGAGCACAGCACAGCAGACAAGGAGGTGGGTGAGCAGGGATACGTACTCTCTCACACTCACACGCACATTCACACACAGAGAGAAAGGGATCAACCGAGTTGCACTGCTGGTGCTGCTTGAATCAGCACGGACACACGTTTTTAGGTGCTTTGATACAGGGTATAGGACTGACTGGCCTGCTTCAAGTCCAGAGCCGCCTGCTGGTGCTGCTTCAGCAGCATGGAGGCACGTTGCAAGGTGCCTAAAAAACGAAAGGCAAAGATATTAGGTGCCTTGACACAATATAAGGACTGACTAACTCGCCTGCTTCAAGTCCAGAGCCGCCTGCTGGTGCTGCTTCAGCATGGAGCGAGCAACGCCCCTGCCGTGCAGCATGGAGCCGTAGAGGCGCGACAGAACCGCATCCAGCTGAGCGGTGACGGGGGGCGAGAGAGGGGATCACAGGACGACAAGACAAGGGGGTGATGTGATGTGAGTGTGAATCAGATGATGGAGGGTACCCTGACGTGTAGCGGCGCACAAGGGCAACGGATGAAAGAAAACACATACCTTGAAGGCTTGAACCATCAGATACCACAAGGAAGGCAACGGAGAGGAATGCTGACCTTATTGTACGAGTCGATCGCCTCCTCATAGTTCCTCGCCTTGAGCTGTAGAGGCATGACGCACGTTGTGTGGTGACAGCATGTGAACGGCCACACAGGGATAGAGCAGAGTGGAGCGAGCTGGATTAGTATGGAGTAAAACTGATTGGAATGGAGCGAAAGGGAGCGAAAAGGAGCACACACAGGATCTCATACGATAAGCATTGAATACAAATGCGTGGACGCGTTGAGCGGGAGACCCGAATCGACAGTAAAATCACCTTGGCATGTCCGTCTGCCAATAACGCGTACGGATCCGCGCGAGCCTCCACGTCTTCACCAGATAAGCCGTCCACGTTTGAACGGTTCGCGTCCTTTTCTGTTGTCGCTGCTGCTTCCGCTGCGTTGTCGCCATTCGCGTCGCATTCCCCGGCGACGGCGCATGTACCCGGTAATTCGTCGGCTCTAAATTGCGATAAGGTGAGCAGAAGGAAGAAGAGAATCGACAGGAGCTGCATAGGCAATAGGGTGGACTGCTTTATAGTGCGCCGTGAGTCCATGCTGTCAGAATATCGATTACGATGCACAATATCACAATGCCTGTTCACCGCATTTCCGCAGAGTTACAGCACTACCGTTTGAAAAAAAAAAAAAAAAAAAAAAAAAAAAAAAAAAAAAAAAAAAAAAAAAAAAATCTAACGAAATTAATCTACCGCCTAGTGCTCTTAGATTGCCTTGTGTAATCGACAGCGCGCACTAGTCGCTATCCCGTAATCCTGGGGTTGAGATGGTGCTGCTGCTGGGAGCCAGGACGAAACGTGACTCAATCGCGAGAAGCATCTCGCCCGAGGGTTTATGGTCAAGCTCCACCAGGGAAGCAGCAGCACCTGGCGACAGAACTAATTACGCAATTAGGCGTTCATTCAGCGAAGTGAAGCTCGACGCAACGATCAACGTCGGTGACTTGACCTTGCATTCAGCTAGCGCAATTTATGCTCTGCTTTCCACTTGTGGTGTGGCTGCTGGTGGGGCTTACGGGGAGCTGCTGTGGTGCGGAAATATCGGTGCTGTTCGCCAGCAAATCGTATGCCTTGTTCGGTAGGCACCCAGTGAGAGTGGGCCCACTCGCACTGGCGAGCCCTTCGTGAGGCTTCCCAGCCTCGGGCCTCAACTCGCACTGAAGGCACCTTCGCGTCTGATTTCGTGAGCTTGTGCGACAATAGCGAGGTAACTTCACCCCTTGGGAAAACCGCCCTACATCCGAGCTGTCACTCGTGCTGGTGATGGCTCATTACAGGGGGGGGGTGGGGGAATGGACTCGAACTGGTTTTTGCCAGGGAAAGAAAATTCTTTCGCAGCTTCGTCACGGCCAGTCCCATCACACTCAGACTAGCAAGTTGAGGCGTTAGGTAGCAAACTCTAACTGGTTAGGTTCGGTGTTCTACTAGCGAGTTTGTGGGCTTTAAGCATTTACACATTCGAACTGGAGAGCCTGCCCTGAGCCATCCGCAGTCAGACTAGGCAGCCTACCGAACAAGGCCTTATTTGAAATGAAAAAGTTAGCCTCGGCAGCGCGACCCCATATGGAAACGGAGGCGGAACCCACCTCCGAGGTTTGGCCGTAATGCCGTTCAAGAAACTTCTGCGCCTGCGGTTGCGAAATTTCGCAACCGCATCAGGAACCTCCATCCCCACCTTCCCCCCGATCCCCTCTGAATGGCAATGCGACGGCTGTGCCATCGTTGTGCTTGGCATGGCTTGGGGATGGAACTTTGCCTGGGGACGAAGTTGCGTCCCCGCTTCCATATGCCGTCGAGCAGTTCGTTTTGGTTGACAAATGGGGGCGTTCGCCAGACACCCTGGTTGATTGTTGGTTTGGACGGTAGGTGAGGCTCGGCGCCTTTTTAACGGGCTGACCAGGCTGACGGAGGTAAACGAACTCTAACTGACGAGATCAGGAAGGCAAGACCCACCTTCCAGGTCCCGTCGTTATCCCGTGGTTTTTGGCTTCACAGGTGCTGGTGAACAGCCCGAAAGAGCCCCTGGTGCATCCGTTTTCTCCCAGCTACCACGTAGTCGGCCGGTACTGCCGACTCCACCAAACCAAACTTCTTTCCTCTATACAATGATTTTGGGGTATATATGACAGGGGGGTAGTTGGGCGCACGCGATGGGAGCTTTTCCGGGCGGGAAACTGCGCGGCTGGGACGGTAACACTACCGAGTTCGGCCGCCCCACGGTAGCGTGGTCCCAGCGCTACCGAGTGGAACATACCCTAGAAAACGTATCAGTAACCAGACGCTCGGCGACCGATGATTGGCCGTTTCCCCCCCGATTTCTTACGCGGAAAACATCGGGGGAGGCTCTCGCGTTCACATGTCCATGTCTCACTGGCTACTCACTTCGTTCCTTGCTTCGTGGCAGTTGACGATTAGCTTTAACATGATGGAATAATATGCCTGCACGTGGCATCGCGACAGCCCAAGAAAGGCTGACGTGTGGCCGCTGATTACTCGAGCGCGAAGCACTCACGAAGCAGTGCGATGCTCGTCAGTTCGAGTCTCCGCGAAAGTGAGTCTCGTTTCTATTGTGCGACCACGGTAACCATAATCGGTGCACGCGGGGTACCCAAGGATGAAAACTCTAGGAATCCATCATCGTTGCGTGGCGCAAGGGGTTACCCACGAAACAAGAGCTACTTCTCCGTTCCGTGCTCACTTTTCGTCGTTCGTGCCCAGTGGTCTCGTTTTAGTTCATCACCTTCTGCCTTGCTTAATTCCCTTCAGATCTCCGAAGACCTGACACATCCGTAATCGTTGCTCCTGGTTCCACGCAACAATGCACCCTCCGACGGAGGGTGAGCGCGGTGCACGGGCACCAAGCGTACCACGCGCACCGAGCACGCATCGCCAGCGACACGCGAATGTTTCCGCGGAAGCAACTGCGGGCATCCATCCCGTGTACCAGAGCTCTGGATTTTATGGGAACCCCTCCGCGGGAACATTAGGGAATCAACCCGCGGGAATTCCGGGGAACCCTCCCACAAGAATTCATGTGAACCAACCTGCAGTAGGTATTCCTGGAAACCCACCCGCGGGTGTTCCATGGAACCCATACGCGGGTATTCCTGGGAATCCACCCGCGGGAATTTCAGGGTGCCGACCAGCGGGTATTCCATGGAACCAATCCGCGGGAATTTTTGGAAACCCACCCGCGGGTGTTCTATGGTACCCACCCGCGGGTGTTCCTGGGAACCCATCCGCGGGAGTCTTACGAAACCCTCCCGCAAGAGTTCCAGAGATCCCACCAGCGAGTATTCCTGTGAATCCACCGGCGGGGGTTCCAGGAAATCCACCCGCGGGAGTTTCTGAGAACCCACGACCGAGTGTTCCTGTGAACCCACCCGCGGGGGTTCCTGGCCCACCCGCGGGAGTTTCAGAGAACCCACCACCGAGTGTTCCTGTAAACCCACCCGCAGGTGTTCCAGGGAACCCTCCAGCGGGTACCACGGCGAACACGCCCGCAGGAATTCCTGGGAACTCACCAGCAGGATTGCTTGAGTTCACACCGCGCGCAGCGGATTTGGACAGTGCGGCAATTGCAGCAGTTGGTCAGGCTGCATTACGTGGCAGTTGCCAATTCCGACTTCCGCCTGCTTTCGCGTGGGGTCCGTTTTTGCCCGCCAATGCGTTTCAACCATGATCCTCAGGAATTCCTCCAAACCTCCGCCCTGCCTCCTCCGGACAGCCTATGCATTATCGTACACCGATGCCCGTTCTCCCTCGCTTTGTCTCATCGCACGCGCGCCCGCGAGCGCCAAGCATGTTCTCAGCCATCAATCCTATAGGAGCACCGCAGGGCACAGAAGCCCAAGTGCCGGGACAATCGGAAAACGTGGAATTTGTGCCAACTGCAGTCACACCGCAACAGCCCCGGGGGAGAAGGCGTGTAAATGTGCAGCAAAATCGGGCTGGGCCGCGTGAAGGGGAACCAACTGCGGAACCAAGTACTAGAAGGCGTGTCAACGCGCGGCAAAATGGGGCTGAGCCGCGTGAAGGGGAACCAGCTGGGGAACCAAGTGCTAGAAGGCGTATCAACGCGCGGCAAAATCGGGCTGAGCCGCGTCAAGGGGTTCCAACAGCGAAACCGAGTGCTGTTCCCACAACGCAAGCACCAGAAACCTAGGAAGCTTCTGAAGACGATGAACCGAAATCAGACGAGGAGGGAGCTGAAGTTGCTGCATCAAGGGAGCAAGAGGAGGGTGAGGGAGAGGGTGATAGGCCGCGGGCATTTCGAAGACCAGACGACGATGTCTCACAGGAGGATGAGAGGGAGTTTTGGGCGGAGATGGCAGCGGGCGAGCGAGCAGACGCGGGTCTCGAAATTGAGGGGGGGGCGACTTATCGCGGATTTGACTAAAATTCGTGCAGGGCTGTCACAGCAGGAGAAGATCGATTTTGTCCGGGACGTTTTCGCGTCCCTGTCGCCGGAAACTCGGGAGCAATATTACTCTGTTATCTGAGAATTCAAGAGGTGGTGGTACCACGAAATGAGAAGGCTGCGTCAAAATGGACAGCTTCCCACGGAGGCTTTTCTAAAGCATCACGACGAGGTGGGGCACGCATTAGGAAGGGACTGGGACTTTGGGGAGGACTGGGAGAAGAAGACGAAGAGGGAAGACTGCTGGCTGCACGGCCCGCATATCACAAGGTGGCGGCTGAAGGTCTTCGTCGCGTACTGCACAACCGAAACGCAAGACCAGGCGGACGTGCTTGTGAGCCTAAACCCTGTCAGACCCATCCGAAAGCGCATAAAGATGACCGTGCCGATGCTTCTGGCGCAGCTTCGCGGACTAAACACGTTGTGCAGGGCGGAGGCTGCACTTTTCGACGACCCGGGCCTTGTGCAAGAAGTGACACAAGTCCTGATACTTCAACGTCTCATGTTGACGCAACAGTTCGAGAGATTCGTCGAGTAAGTATTGTTGGAAACATACGGTCATCCTTCATTCACGTCATTTCCGCAAAGACCCTCACAATTTCATGGTTTTCGTGCTCTGCCCCAGGGAATGCGTCGACCGTCACCGCGGAAGACACGATGACACGTATACTCTGGACCAGTTTCGCCACATGATGCAAGTGACATTTCCCGCGGATGCAGTGAAAAACTGGAAAGCCTTGGACCCGGAGCCATCAACGAAACTCCACAGAGCACTTCTCACAAAAGTCATGCTGCTCACGTGCCATCACACCCTGTCCCGCGCGGGGAGTATTTGCGCTGCTCAGCTACCACACCTGTCTTTCAAAGAAATGGGTTCCGTGTCAGAATATGATCCAATTCGCGAAGTAGTGGTGATGACGATCAACAGCCGAAGCGGAAAGACAAACCATCATTTTGGTCTCCAACGCCACGACTCCACGCGGCACATTGACTACAACCTCTGCCCCGTCGGAAACATGCTCCTTCTGCTGCACTGGCTCTACGACATGGCTCCTGAACACTATCAGCTGCCGCCACTGGATTTGGACTTTGGAGACCCGAAACAGTGGCACAAAGCCTA